GGACTATTGTGAAACTTGGCATGAAATTTGAGAGAGTGCTCAGTAGAGCGACTTTGGATCCACTTTTGACGCTTCATTGATGTAGTCTTTATAAATTTAAGGAAGGTCATCTTCTGTTTTCCAATTTAGGAACGATTTCCATGGAAATCGCGGTTTTGGGGGAGCTCGACGAGGTGCATTCAGTCGCGGGCGTGGAAGTTATCATGGTGGTTATCAGGGCGGCAGTTTTCAGCGAAACCGTGGACGAGGAAGCTGGGGTTGAGAAGATTACTGAGTAGGTGCAGACATCAGTAAATATTCTAGCGGGTGTACGCTTGCTGTTGTTCTTAATGTTTTGACAATCGTTTAGCGGCGTGTTAAATCGCATTTTCACTACCATGTACATGCTTACTTCAACATAATCCACCACATGTACTTCTTGTTGAAAGTGCGCTCTTGCGCTTATTTTATTGTATGCATTTATCAACATCTTATCTGACTTTCATTTGTAATTGTGATTTTCAAGAGACGCCAATATGCAAAGTTATGACTACTGCTACAACGATCTTTAAATGTCGGACATTCCATTGTCAAAGAGTCGTGGTTTACTTCCATATGTTTGTTATTGACGGTAGAATTACCGTAATTATCTTTTTGAAGTGGAGAGCTCTCAGTTGCATCATTTATTTGCAACAGGAATATTCCAAAGGCAAGTGAGGATATAGAAGTGGAGAAATGCGAAAATATGATTGAAAACGAACTGCTTGGAGAGGAGCATGACACTGCATATATAGTCCGCATTCCAAAAACGACGTTTCTTCAACCTCCCGTCAAGAATACCCCGGAGCAGGTTTAATTTGGGTTTTTTTATTGGCAAATTTTGTAGTCAGCAGATTTAGATCGCTTCAAAGCGGGATTTTTGGCGAGAATATATGAAGAAGAAAAGGAAAATAAATATTGTTGCTCCAATGGTAGATCAGAGGTAAGCATAAATGAATGCGTCAGCTGCACCTAATATGCTTGGGTTTTGACTCGCTCATTTTCAGCGAACTAGCATTTCGAATGTTTATGCGGAAATACGGAGCCCATATTACCGTAACCCCAATGATCCACGCGCACCTGTTTGTGCATGATACAACTTATCGTCGAAATGCGTTAGCTCTATGTGAGGATGATCGTCCCCTCATTGTGCAAGTAAGCTTCACAAAAAATAGTTCATGCTTTATTTTGAAACTTTTTTGCAGTTCTGCGCAAACAAACCAGATACTTTTTTGGCTGCTTGCCGCCTGGTTGAGAAGTATTGTGACGGTGTGGATCTGAACCTTGGCTGCCCTCAGATGGTAGCTAAGAAAGGACGTTACGGTGCTTACCTGCAGGCGAGGAACATGATTATTCTTTCACTCTTCTGCCTAGATTTAATTTTGGCAGCTTGGATTTTTTCCTATTCCTTTGGATAATTCTCTCATGTCCTTTTTTTAAAGATAGTTTTGAGCTTGCAGTGGCAAAAAATGTATTGACCTACTGGCGTACTCGGTTGGATTCAAAATTTTCAGACTAGCCATAGTTATGACGAAATTTTTTCTGTAGAGAGCAGACGTCATTCTTGGAATTAATATGAAAACCTGTCGCAGTGTGCGACCTACTTTAAGATGGTTGTCTTGCTTTCCGCTTTAGAGCATAAAGTACAATCTGGTGAAAACCAATGTATTTTCTTGAGATTACTATCGCATCTTCATCCAATATTGACTAACCGCCATTCGCCAATTCGCAGTACCGTAGGTCGAAAATTATGACAATAATAAGTCGGTGAAAACTCGGGAGTGTATGACTTTATGAACGATAGTTCTGATTGACAGCCTTGGTGGGCGTAAGTGCGCCTAACTTTTGCAAAGCTTACCGTGTTTTTAATCAAAGTCCTCATTTATCACTAAAATTAAGACCACTATGCTGATAATCCTTCATCGAACAGTGATAGATACTCTTTTAAAAATTTAGTTCTAACGGTAATGCTTATATAATCTATGCGGGTTATTTACAAAATATCAACCATCTTCTTACAAAACTGATCAAATTCAAAGGAATTTTATATGTAGGCTTGGGTATGAACATTTACAGAAAGGAATAAATTTTTCACGGAACTTTTATGTTGTTTTGATCTTTACAAGTTTTTCGAAGGTTTGACAACCAAAAAAGTACTAGTAGGTTGAGGAAAGTAAATATGATCATTCTTGTGCGCCGAGCTATGCACCAAGCTCTTCTCAAACTACCAGCTGGCAATAGCTATCGTTCATAAAGTCCGCCACCCAAAACTCGATATTTCCTTGGCTGGTTTCATTTGTTGGCAGCGTGTTGGTGAACATTCGAAAATCATATTTTTAGGATGAGCTTGACTTAGTTTGTTCTATGGTTTCGGCAGTTAGAGATTACTGCTCTTTACCGGTGTCCTGTAAAATACGTATACGAAATTCTCGTGAGGAGACTTTGGAGTTCGCTCGTAGACTTGTGGAAGCTGGAGCTTCAATGTAAGTATATCTGCCCGTTCTTTCTAATTGAATCTAAGCTTGCTGATAATTTTCTATATCATTGATGTCTTATTGACGGGTTAGTAGAGCAATGTTTTAATAATGTAAATGAAAGTATCTCGAAGAAATGCGCTATGATCGGCCATAGTTGGTTGTAATTTTTAGGTTGACGGTTCATGGTCGCACTCGCGAAATGAAAGGCGCAGATACTGGATTAGCAGATTGGTCGAGGATAAAAGAAGTGGTTGAAGCTGTAGATGTTCCGGTGGTAGCCAATGGGAACATTCAGGTGCGAAGGTTGATGCTAACCGCATACGATATCGGTAGCGAATGCGATACACTCAAATTCTGTTATAAGATATCTTTGTTCAGATGCCTGGAGACGTGGAAAGGTGCCTTGCTGCGACTGGCGCTGCTGCTGTCATGTCAGCTGAAGGCATTTTGTCAAA